AAAGGAGCAAGAAACAGTAAGTGGAACAAGGAAAGACTCCTCAACAAGTGGTACTGGGAAAACTGAGCAGCCACATGCAAAACAATGAATTCCGACCTTTTTAATGCCAAGCACAAAAGTCAGAACAAAATGGATTGAAGACGTCAATATCAGACCTGAAACCATAAGGTATATGAAGGAAAATGTAGACAGAACCTTCCATGACACTGAAGCTAAAGGCGTCTTCAATGATGAAGCACCCCTAATCAAGCAAGCGAAGCAAAGATAAACAACTGGGACTACATTAAACTAAAAAGCTTCTGCAATACAAAAGAAATGGTGACCAAGATACAAAGACAGCCCACAGAATGGGAAAAATTATTTACCCATATCCTATAGGGTTAATATGAAAAATATATAAGCACTGGTCGAACTTTAAATGAAAAAAAAAACATTCAATCCCATCAAAAATGAGAAGAAATAAACAGAAACTTCCTCAAAAAAGAAATACAAATGGCCAAAAGGCACATGAAAAAATTCTACAACACTAATCATCAGGGAGATTCAAATCAAAACAACAATGAGATATCATCTCACTCCACAGAGACTGGCATACATCAAAAAGAACAAGAACCAGTGCTGGCGTGGATACGGGGAGAAAGGGACTCTCATTCACTGTTAGTGGGAATGTCGACTGGTCCAACCCTTTTGGAAAACAACATGGGCATTGCTCACAAAACTAGAAATTGAGCTTCCATATGGCCCAGCAATACAACTCCTGGGAATATACCCTATGGGTCCAAAAAACAATGCAGAAAAGTCATCTGCACTTCTATGTTCATTGCAGCACTATTCACAATAGCCAGAATCTGGAAACAGTCTGAGTGCTCAAGAACAGATGAATTAGATAAAGAAATTCTGGCACATTTACATCATGAAATATTATATGGCTACCAGGAAAAATGAAGTCATGCAATTTACTTATAAATGGAAAGACAAGGAGAGTATCATGCTGAGTGAAATTAGCTAGAGGGAGAGGAAGAGACAGAATGATTGTGCTCCTTTGCAATACAAAAAAAACCCACAATATGAGAGTAATACTCAAAAGGCAGTAGAAATAAGGGCCATCAAAGGTAGTAGAAATAAGGGCCAGGAGATCTGGTACATAGATAGAAGTCTGCCACAAGTGTGTGTGTGTGTGTGTGTGTGTGTGTGTGTGTGTGTGTGTGCGCGCGCGCACGCGCACGATGAGGGGCAATTAGGAGAGAGAAGGAACTACTATGACAATGATAGTGGAAATGATCACTCCAGAAAAGAAATGAGTACTGAAAAGGGGTAAAGGAATAGGCATGATAACCTTTCATTGTCTGTTTTGTAACTCATAATGCCCAGAAGGAAAGGGAGACAGAGGGAGAGAGAAACAGAGACAGAAACAGATAGAGACAGAGAGACAGAGTTAAAGACACAGAGACAGAGACAGAGACAGAGTAAGAAAGAGATGAAAAGTGTCTGCTACAGAGAGAGCCTGGGAGCAGGGAGAGAAAAGCTCCAGGCATTGTTGGTGGGAAATGTATGCTGGTGAAGGAACGGTCGTTGGAACATTGTATAACTGAAATCCAATCATAAACAACTTTGTAACTGTGTATCTCACTGCTATTCAGTTAGGAAAAAATCCCTGGTTATACTATTTACAATGGAAAAATCAAGAGTAAAATATTCCCAACAAACTAAAGATTCCTGACAGATTTTTCTGAGTCTCATTACCAGTACTTTATAGCATAAAACCCCAAGATTCCACTCCATGATTCCACTAGCTCCCATCTGTCAAGCAAAGGAAATTGTTGATTTATGCTTAATAAAGCAAATAAGCATACATTATTTTAATTACATCAAACTAGGTGCTAAATTTAGGTGCCACAGAAAAGTCATTATCCTTATCTGCCAGGAGGCATAAGGAATAATGTAAGGCAACTGCAAAGTTCCAGAAAGTTCAACTATTTGTGGAAATGGAGGAAAAGTACATTATCTATGAAATAATCTTATGTATAACAACTTTGTTATCAATTTTGTTAACAATTTTTAAATTTTTTATCCATAAGATATGCGACCCTGCTGTAAACCAGGACAAAAAGTAAGAGAGATAGACAAATGCTAAGTAATCAATTATCCACTAGAGGACATTTAGGAAATTTAGAAGAGGATTCCAGTATCCTAACTCTAAACTAGTTACCTAGTAAAACCCTCTTAGGATGCACTGTGGTTCCAATTCTGTTATTGGGGGGAAAAAGTCAACTAACTTCAAGTCTACCAATAGTGTTATTTATATAGCTGGGAGTTACTGCCAATGATCAAATGGTGAATAAAAGAAATCTTAAAAGTATAATTCTTAACTATCGAGATAATCATATTTTCTTCATTTTAAACAAAATGTATAAATACATCTTTATTATTTTTGCTATTTTTGGTGGAATACTCCAGCAGTATTCGGGGGCTACTACTAGTTTTGTGCTTTGTGGTCATTCTGCCGGTGCTGGAAAACCATTTACAGTGACCAGGATTGACTCCGTGCACTGCAAGGGGTCACTCCTTTTTGTTGTTGCTATTATTATTTTTGGTTTGGGGGCCATGCCCAGAGATATTCAGGGCTTCCTCCTGGATCTGCAGGAACCACTTCTGGTGGGGCTCAAGGGAGCATATAGGATGTCGGACAGGGAACCTTGGGTCTTCCAAGTGCCCTACCAGCTGTACTATCACTTTGGCACAATAAGGGGTGACTCCTGAGCACTAATGAGTGTGGACCATTCTCTATCCCCAAACACACACAAGTCAAATGAAAAATAAAATACAAAAAAGGAATGATTATTTAAAGTAAACTGCAACAAATACCGCATAAAGTTGATTTGATTTTCAGGAGATTCATTTATCTATTATTTTTCATAAATACAGTTGTACAAAGTGAAATAAACTTATTTGATAAATGTTATCAGGAGCATCAGGAAAATTATGATGACCAATTAAAATTATAAGGAACTAATATATGCTATATCACACTGGCCTATAAGATCTACTTTATATTCTGACCTGTTCCACGATGGTCTTATATAAGTAAATTACATCACTATGTAATTATGAACCATGATTATCGTTTTAATCTGAAATATTTGCCACTGTTGACTATACTCATTTGCAAAATAACACTTATGATTTAGAAGCAAACAAACAAAATGAGTGTCAGGGAAATACTACAGGAGGAAATGTATCTGACATACTAACCAAGTTTGATCACCTGCACATTACATAGTCCCTTGACTAACCACTATCAGGGCATCATTCCTAAGCATACAGCCCTTGAGCTCCGGTGATGTTTTCCAATCCATGCTCCCAACATCACCAAAAAAAATTCAGATGTGACAAAATGTGAAGCTAAAGAAGGCAATTTCTGTTGCCTTTTATATTTGTCTTTTGGAGGAAGCAACTAGATCTCCCTCATGCAGAGTGTTCAGCCCATTGAGCTATCTCTCCAACCTCCGTTGCTTTATTTTCATGAATCCTGTAAGATTCAAATAAAAAGTCTAATAGAACCTCAGAATTCTCTCCACTCTCTTAGTTCCTTGGTAAAAATAAAATTAACAGTACATGTTATCATCTTTAACATGCTTTGATTTGGCATTTATCTTTCATTTCATCCTCTCAACGGTAAGGTAGACACCATTTTATAGAAGAGCAGCGTGACTTTCTCCACGAATGTTTACTCAAGTCTCTGTCATTTAATTATAATGATAATGTTCCTGCTTTATTAGATGCTAGTTATAATTGAAATGTGCCCTGTTTACTAGTTTACTAACCCGGCCATCACTTGTTATCCAGACTATTTCAAAAACAGGGAACCGAGTTTTAATATTGTAGCATTACATGTGGCACAACAGTGCGTGCTAAGGTTGAAAACGTGGGAGCAAAAACGAGCAGATTCCAACAAGAGATGTGGTTGGGACCAAAATCTAGGGTTTCAGACGTTTCCTCCCCTTTAATCACGGGGCAAAAATCAAACCTGGTTCACCACTTCAAAGACACAGACCAAAGGAAAAATTGACACAAAGTCGAACCCTCGGGTGCCAGATTTCCAAAAGTTACAAGGTCTCTGCCCAAGACCAGGGATCCTAAAATAAAAATTCTTACAGACTTGAAATACTTAACCAAGGCACATTTCTTAATCCATAAGGCAAGGAATGGGAGGTGGGCTGCTTGAGGGGGTATGAGTTAATTTCCGTTGGTTTCCCTGGTTTGATCAGGGCTTTGAAAGGACAAGGACACACACTCGAGAAAGAGAGAAACCAAGCACAACGCTGAAATAGCCTTTTGGGGAGGTGCAGGGGAACGGGATCCCAAGGACTGAAAACTTGAAGATCAAAAAAAGATGCTAAATTCGGAGAAAACGGCAATTCCTAGTCCTATCCCTCGTCCCACCTCCTATGACCGTCCCCCCACCCCTTCCTGAATGTCTCATTTGATGCCTCTTTCCCAGGATGTGATCGGGGCCCCTCCCTTTCTTCTCACCGTAACCACCGCCCTCCCACCCGCCCCAAACACACACACACTTAAAACTCTCCAAGGTGGTGATTATCGATCCGGAGGTCAGTGGGCAAAAGTTAAGTCCGCACTTGCTAACTGGCCCGGGTCACCACACTCAGCCCGGCTAGGCGAGGTCTACCAGCCCTCATCAGCCCCCTCCCCCATGGGAAGCGTCAGGGCAGGTGTTTAGGCTCCTCGAGAACCCCTGATTTGCCGGGAAGGAAGCCCTCCTCCCTCTTTCTATCCCACCCAAAGAGCCCAGTGCCGGTCCAGGGGCGTTCTTCGGTCTCGCCGAGGGCAATGCAAAGGTGGTGGCGGGAGACGAACCCGCGTCCCGGCGCTCGCGGTCTGGGATGGGGTCGCAGTTCGCTACGAGTAACTGTTTCCCTCCCACCTCTGAAGAACCCACAAACCTAGTCCCAAGACGGGTGGGGGGCTGGCCAAGAGCTTACCTGTGAGCCCCCCTCCGCCTTCCTCCCCGTAGCCCCGACGCCGTTGCAGCACGAAGTAGTCATTGGATCTTTCCATCATCCACAGCTTCAGCGCATTTTTGAGGAGCACTTCCTCGGGCTTCAGCCACATCTCGGAGAACTTTGGGGCGCCGGGAGCGGCGACCCCGATGCCCTCCTAGCCTCACCGTGCACCCGTTTCCTCCCTCTACTCTCACCGAAGCTTCTTGAGGCGGCAGCGTCTCGGGTTCAGCTTTTCCACACTCCCCCCCCCCCCCCCCTTCTCTCCCACGTAGGCAGAAGGATCGCCAATTCCCTCCCACAGCGCCACCGCTCGACGGGGAAACAGCTCCCTCGCACTGCCTCCTGGGAGTTGTAGTTTTCTGACGCTCTTGGGTCCGCAAGGAACCGAAGCGCTGAACCACACTTCCTACCATGCACCGGGGCGGGGGTGAGCAGGGGGTGTCTTTCAAAGCCATACCCGCCACCGGTTAAGTGGAGTTTGCAGAGTGAAAGTTTAAAGCTTTTCGCCGGCCTTAAAATGAGAGAGCCCCAAGTTTGCAGACACTGCTGCTTCTCACGTCGAAGGCTTAATCCAGTTCCCGAAATTCAAGACGGCCCATTCTGGGAAGCAGCATCTGACGTTTATTGAACTCGTAGTGGATGCTATGTTATCCCATTTACAGAAGTCTGGCGAAGGAAATCCTCTCCCCTACTTGGTCAGTTGCTGATGATAAAAACGCAGATCGGCGACATGACTTATCCAAGGCCCTCAGACCAAGAGGGTCTGATGTAAGTTACATCTAATTCCAAATCTTCCATTAAACTCCTTTTGTTCGTACAGGAAGAATAGAAAAATCAGAAATACCCAGTTTTTTTCCACTCCGACCACCCCTCCCTCTGCCCCACCGCCTGCCGAATCTGTTGATTTAACTGCTACGATTTCTTATTAAGTCACGAGAAGGTCTGACCTTGCTTTTAAGAATCTAATAAAGGATGTTTGGAGGATCCTCCCAGGAGGGGAGATGCATGTCGAAGGTAGACTATGGACTGAACATGTTTGCCACTCAATGCCTCTTTTGCAGACCACAACACCCAAACGGAGAGAGAGAACACAGGGGATTACCCTGCCACAGAGGCAGGGGGGGGGGGGATGGGGGGATGGGGGTGGGAGGGACATTATCCATGGTGGTGAAAAACGGGCACTGGTGGAGGGATGGGTATCTGATCATTGTATAATTGAAACCCAAGCACAAAAAATATTGTAAATCTACAACTGTAAAAAAATAAATAAATAAAAATTAAAAAAAAAGAATCTAAACAATTATGAGCTCTTCTTATTTTTGTAAACTCTCCGAGGAATATAAAACCTTTCATGACTAACCTTAGCAATGATTCCCAGCAGTTTAAAGCAAGGTGAGTGAATCCAGTGGTTTCTGTGATATTTTGAGGAACTTTATGTGTGTATTTGTTTATCATGCTAATTTAGTCCACCAGAATTAGGGTTCACTGCATTGAAAAACAAACAAAAAGTGTATGGAAGGAAGGAGTCAGAAGTTTACTTACGAAAAAATTTTAAAAGGACTTTATGTTCAAAACCAAGGGGCTTTTAGAAAGCAGGCTCAAGGTTGAAATACTGGAGCCAAGAATTCTGCATTGGAGATGTTACCCTCCTTTTCTTCACTCTCCCAAGATATAGGCCAGCTCAAAACTGATAGATATGTGCTCACAAGTAGGAATTTTTCTTGGTTTAGAAGAGGATGAGTTCTAGGTTCTTTTTTTTACTAAACAGTCCAAGTAGTCCCAAATCATATTTCTGGAGGTGATAAGTAGCAAATTTTTTTTGTTTCCCAAAGTGCAGTCTATCTTTGGTGTGCAGCCATTTCAATTTGGATACACAAAGATTGTTTTCCTGGTAAAAGATCTGTAAATATATCAGTACCAGAGAGATGTGAAGCTTCCTTATTTCTTTTTACCTTCACTTTTCTTTTTTATAGCCTTCCTCATCAAATCACATTCTTTTCCAATATTTAGCTCTAATCTTTAAAAATTAGAGCTGAACATGAACTTTCCAGACTGGTTTTTCTGCTTTTCTCCTCCATAACTCCATCCAGATATAACCACATGCTCCTAGTCATAGAATTAGACACACTTCAGACTCAGAGCAGGGAATGTGGAGTTTCTGCGTTAGTTAAAAACGTTTGCCATTTAGAGAAAATGCTTTCTCCAAATTAAATTACTCTTAAATTACTCCTGTGATGTAAAATGTTGGATTGATCATAAACTCCTCTTCAAGCCTTTGCAAATAAAAGCATCCCTCTGAAAGTGCTTAAATAACAGAGCCTGCCACTCTACTCAATGTACAATTGTGTATGTTAATGTAAATTGCTTCTAAAGAAAAAAGATTGAAATAACATACATTATATACATTATATGTTTATATATACACACATATGTGTGTATATATGTGTGTACATATGTAATATATATATGTAAATGTGTGTGTATCCAGCAATGAAGGTCAGAGAAGTCAAGTGACTTTCCTAAGATCGCATGATGAAATAAATGGCAGGGGTGGAATTTGAACCTAGATTTGTCTAATTACAAACTACGACCTGCATATATACATATATATTATGTATAAACACGTATATGTATACGGCTTATATATAAACATGCACCCCCTTCCATGGTCCAAAGTTCTTCTATTACTCAGTTCTCATAGTTTATATCACCGTTGTTTATTCAAAGTAAAAACTCTGGAATAATTTCAAATTTCCTACTCTCACCATCTGCACAGTCTCAAACACACACCCCTCTGCTTCTCATTATGAAATTCATGCCATCCTAATATCATTTCAAATTAGCCTCATGTCACTTTCTTGCTGTACTTGTAGACTACTTTCTGAACTCACCTGACTCTTTTTATTTTTGTTTTCTGGTTTGCCCAAATCACATATTGATTGACACAATGTTATATTATGCAAAGAATACTTCTTTCATCTAGACTCAGTCTTTCAACTGACACAGTTTTTTAAAATCTGAGCCTTAAATAACTACGTGAAGGGATACCAGGAAATTCCAGAAAGTAATTCCATACTCTGTGTTATGGAATCACCAAGGCTGTCATTCATGACTATATTTGCTTCTTAGTTAAAACAAACTTTACAAGCTTGGTTTATGATTTACATCTGCAGTAGGTTTACAAGTAATCAGATTCAAAGTAGATGGACTACTACTAGAGGGTGACAATTTAGAGATTTGCTGCTCAAAATTCAGGGTCAGGACAGCAACATCTGCATGATTTGGGAGTTTACTAGAAATTCATAATCTCATACTCCATTCCAGATCTAACAAATCAGAGTGTACATTTTAACAAGTCTCCCAGGTAATCTGCAGACATGTCAATGGCTAATATGTACTAATTTAAAGCAAATTAGATTTTTGAAATCAAACTCTACAATAAACCGGAGGTGATTATATTTTCATTAAAACCTACATAGCTATTTTAAAAACATAAGCTTGTTAATAAAATTTAGATAAAATCCTTTTGTGTTTTGTGTTTGGATGCTCAGGACTCATTCCTGGCTCTGCATTCAAGGATCACTCCTTGCCAGATCAGAGATAATATAGAGTGGCAGGGATAGAACCCAATTGGCTGCAAGCAAGGCAAGTGTCATACACAATGTACTATCTCTCAGGGCAATACCTTGAAAAGAACAGTCCCTTGACATTTTATTTAAAAAACTAACATTACCAAATGGGGTGGCCGGAGGCAAGGGATGGAAAAAATGGGCTAGGGTTGTGCTTGAGGATGGTAATGAAAGGTCTTGGGCACTCTAATGGTGATGAAGTACAAGGCAAATGCCCTATCTTCAAGATCATGAAAATGCACAACCTTGCAATCATGTTATAGAAACTGCAATTAGAATATTGAAAATTAAATCCAATATTGGAAAATAATACTTTTATTTTCAGAATATGCTCATTTAATTTTTCTAAGGGCAGTGTCTTCGAACTGGGATATTTGTAGCACTGTAGCACTGTCCTCCCGTTGTTCATACATTTGCTCGAGCAGGCACCAGTAACGTCTCCATTGTGAGACTTGTTACTATTTTTGGCATATCAAATGCGCCTCGGGGAGCTTGCCAGGCTTTGCTGTTCGGGCCGGGAGACTCTCAGTAGCTTGCCAGGCTCTCTGAGAGGGGTGAGGGATGGAAGAATCAGCTGTGTGCAAGGTGAACATTTGGTAAACATTTATGATTCTTTGAATTTTTACCAATTATTAAAGAACAATTGACAAACTAAAGTTCATCCATTGTAAATGTATAGTTTGGTGATGTTCAGTGAATATTTAGAATTATGTAATAATCGGGAAATTTCAGTTTCAGATCTTTCCATCACTGAAAAATTGTTCCCTGTGTGCAAGGCAAACACCCTACCCGCTGTGCTATTGCTCCGCCCTACGGATATTAGTACAAAAGAAATTAACCATTAACTAGTTACATCTACTACTCTGTAGCCCCGGCTGGAGCTATAGCACAGCAGTACGGAGTTTGCCTTGCACACGGCTGTTGCAGCTGACCCGGGTTCGATACCTCTGCCCTTCTCAGAGAGCCCAGCAAGCTACTGAGAGTATCCCGCCCGCAGGGCAAAGCCTGGCAAGCAACCCCTGACGTATTCAATATGCTAAACACAGTAACAAAAGTCTCACGATGGATATGTTACTGAGCCCCCTGGAGCAAATTGATGAACAACCGGAGAGTGCTATAGTGCTACTCTGTAGCCATCAAAATCTAGATCTGTAATACAAAAAATATTTTACATTAATGAACTTGTTGGGTTGGAGCAATAGCACAGCGGATAGGGCATTTGCCTTGCACGCAGCCAACATGGCCGACCCAAGTTCAACTCCTCTGCCCCTCTCAGAGAGCCCGGCAAGCTACCAAGAGTATTTCGCCCGCACGGCAAAGCCTGGCAAGCTCCCCGTGGCATATTCAATATGCCAAACACAGTAACAACAAGTCTCATGATGGAGATGTTACTGGGCCTGCTCGAGCAAATGGATGAACAACGGGAGGACCGTGACTGTGAACTTGTCAATTTCTCTAGTGAAAAGGTTAAGATGTCGTGGGTAGTATTTTTCAAACTTTCACTGAATTAGTCTAAGGTAGAGGACCTGATTTCTGCTACTCTAAAATTAACTCTCAGAAAATCTCTCCTTCTTAAGTCAGTGTCTCCCTGCACATTAAATTTACCTATTGCTACTGTTAATGAGCTCACATTTAATTATATGTATAAAATATAACACCAGAATTTTCTTTTTATTATCATTATCAGAGATTATTGAAGAAAATTCACAAGTGACACAGAATGCATTGCCCTTGTTTCTATACCCAAAACATTTGAAAACATACATCTACACCAAAAGATAATTTTACAATGCCACAATTTATAACATGTAAAATGTGGCGGGACAAACTTCAATGGAATATTATTTAGCAATGAAAAAGAATGGAGTACTTGAAATGCATACTTCAGTATGAATGAATCTTGGAAAAAATGCACAAGTGTAAGCCAGTCATGAATCCACATGTTCCTTAATTTTATTTATATTGAATGACCTAAATAGGCAATCTTTATTTAGGTGTGGGGGGGGTGTTGACCCACATCAGCAGCACTCCCGGGCTTTTCCTGGCTCTGTGCTCAGGAATGACCCATAGTGGTGTTCATGGGACCATATGCGGTGCTGAGAATCAAATCCTGGTCAGATTCTTACTAGATTAATGTCTTTTTTTTTCCCCTTTATTGTATTTTTTTTAAAGTTGTAGATTTACAATTTTTTGTGCTTTGGTTTCAATTATACAATGATCAGATACCCATCCCTCCACCAGTGCCCATTTTCCACCACCATGGATAATATCCCTCCCACCCCCATCCCCCCATCCCCCCTGTCTCTGTGGCAGGGCAATCCCCTGTGTTCTCTCTCTCCTTTTGGGTGTTGTGGTCTGCAAAAGAGGCATTGAGTGGCAAACATGTTCAGTCCATAGTCTACTTTCGACATGCATCTCCCCTCCTGGGAGGATCCTCCAAACATCCTTTATTTGGTGCTCCCTTCTCTATCTGAACTGCCCTTTCCTCTAGGATACCCGGCTGGCCTCTAAGTTATGGAGTAATCCTCCTGGTGCTGATCTCAGCTATTCTTGGGTATTAATCTCATACTTTGTTACTTTATATCCCCCAGATGAATGCAATCTTTCTATGTCTATCCCTCTCTTTCTGACTCATTTCGCTTAGCATGATACTTTCCATATTGTACCACTTGTATGTAAATTTCATGACTTCATCTTTTCTAAGAGCTACATAGTACTCCATTGTGTAGATGTACCAAAGTTTCTTTAACCAGTCATCTGTTCTTGGGCACTCAGGTTTCTTCCAGTTTCTGGCTATTGTAAAGAGTGCTGCAATGAACAAACAAGTGCAGATGTCACTTCAACTATACATTTTTGCCTCTCTGGGATATATTCCCAGGAGTGGTATTGCTGGGTCAAATGGGAGCTCAATTTCTAATTTTTTGAGAATCGTCCATACTGTTTTCCAGAAGGGCTGAACCAGTGGACATTCCCACCAACAGTGAAGGAGTGTCCCTTTCTCGCCACATCCATGCCAGCATCGGTTGCTTTTGTTCTTTTGAATGTGGGCTAGTCTCTGAGGTGTGAGATGGTATCTCATTGTGGTTTTGATCTGCATCTCCCTGATGATTAATGATGTAGAGCATTTTCTCATGTGCTTTTTTGCCATTCGGATTTCTACAAAGCAGTAATAATTAAAACAGCATGGTACTGGAACAAAGGCAGAACTGCAGACCAATGGAACAGGGTTGAATACACTGACATCTCTCCTCAATCATATGCTCATCTAATCTTTGATAAAGGTGCAAGTAATGTGAAGTGGAGTAAGGAAAGCCTCTTTAATAAATTGTGTTGGCATCACTGGACGGCTACATGCAAAAAAATGGGCTCAGAACTCTGCCTAACACCATGTACAAAAGTAAGATCAAAATGGATTAAAGACCTCAACATCAGACCAGAAACCATAAGGTACATTGAAGATAAAGTTGGCAAAACCCTCCATGACATTGAAGCTAATGGTATCTTCAAAGATGCCACGCCACTGGCCGAGCAAGTGAAAACAGAGATAGATAAATGGGACTATCTTAAACTAAGAAGCTTCTGCACCTCCAAAGAAACAGTGACCAAAATACAAAGACAGTCTACAGAATGGGAAAGGATATTCACCGAATACACATCTGACAAGGGGTTGATATCCAGGATATACAAAATACTGGTTAAACTCCACAAGAAGAAAACATCCAACCCCATCCAAAAATGGGGCAATGAAATGAACAGAAACTTTCTCAAAGTAGATTAATGTCTTACTCATTTACTGTCTCTCTACCCAACCCCTCACTCCCCACCCCCGAATAGTCAATCTTTAGAAACAGAAAGAAGATTGGTAGTTGTCTGGGACTGGAAATGGCAACAGAAATTGACCATATCTGACTCTGAGGGAACAATTTTTCAGTGATGGAAAGATCTGAAACTGAAATTTCCCGATTACATAATTCTAAATATTCACTGAACATCACCAAACTATACATTTACAATGGATGAACTTTAGTTTGTCAATTGTTCTTTAATAGTAAAGTAAAGGCCCTCCCGTTGATCATCGATTTGCTCGAGCGGGCCCAGTAACGTCTCCATTGGAGACTTTGTTGTTACTGTGTTTGGCATATCGAATATGTCACGGGGAGCTTGCCAGGCTCTGCCGTGCGGGTGAGATACTCTCAGTAGCTATAGCACAGCGGTAGGGCGTTTGCCTTGCACGCGGCCAACATGGCCGACCCGAGTTCGATTCCTCTGCCCCTCTCGGAGAGCCCGGCAAGCTACCGAGAGTATCTCGCCCGCACGGCAGAGCCTGTTCTTTAATAATTGGTAAAAATTCAAAGAATCATAAATGATCACCAAAGAACCTCCACAAAACTTGAAATATTTTGTTCTAAATATATGTATCATTTATTTAGTGGCATCAGATAAACATACTGCTGCCACAGAGTCATGGTTCTGAGATTTTGATCCATGCATGTTTGTTCCTAAAATGCTTTACAAAAACAGTTGAATACAACTGTTTTTCAAGGGCTCGAGTGATAGCTCAGCAGTAAGGTATGTGTTGACTCCAGTACCTGCCTGGATTGTGTTGCTCCCTAGTGCTACTGAAAACTTGAGAGTACTGGGTATAGCCCTAGCAGACTCCAGCATCATCTAGAACATCAGAACATCCTCCCTGGCTGGCTGAGTACCCTAGGAGTAGCCTCTGGATTCCCTGATCACTTTGTAGCTCCACTCCAAGACAAGAAGATACTTCATGAACAACATCCCAACAGCTGTACTGCTAAAGAGAAAGAAGAAGGAAATGTTTTTATTCCCAAGGGCCAGGAGGATCGGTCCATGATTGGAATCCTACTTCAAGTGCTAGGAGATAAGACAGTTGGGATAGAGAAGGGACCACTATGTCATTGATGGTTGGAGGGATTGCTTGGGATGGGAGATGTGTGCTGAAAGTAGACAAAAGATCAAACATGATGGCCTCTCAGTATCTGTATTGTAAACCATAATGCCCCAAAGTTGAGAGAGAGTAAGAAGGAAACTGCCAGCCATAGAGACAGGAAATGTGGTGGAGAGGGGGTAGTAGGAAGGTTACTGGGGACATTAGTGGTAGAAAAGCTACACTGGTAGAGGGATAGGTGTTTGATCATTGTATGACTGAAACTCAGTCATGAAAGCTTTGTAATTGTATCTCACGGTGATGCAATTAATTTTTTTTTAAAAAACTGATCTTATTCCTTGGATAGTATAACGATAGATTGGCAGGACAGGAGAGATAGCTAAACTGACTGGAGATCATGCTTTGAATACAGAAGGCGTAAGTTTTATTCTTGGCACCATATAGCTCCCCAGTCATTGCCAGGAACAACCACTGAACACAAAAACACGAGTTGTCCCTAAGCACTACTGGGTACAGACTCTCAAACAAATTAACAAAAAGAAACAGACATTAAGATTTTTTTCTACCCTAATATGATAATCATTCTCATTATTTACCTTGCATTAAAAATTAGTTTATAACAGGTTCAGTAATATTACAATGGCAGTAATTCCTAGATTCGTAATGAAATATGTGAATTTGAGAGAGCAATAGTATAGCAGGTAGGGTATTTGCCTTGCATAATAAATAAACATGCAAGCCTGGCATCCCATATGGTCTGTGCACCGCCAGGAGTAATTCCTGAGTGCACGAGCCAGGAGTAACCCCTGTGCATCACTGAGTGTGTCCCAAAAACCAAAAAAAGTCATCATATGTTAAGCAGACACAAACTTTTATTGGAATATTTATTTACACTTTATATTTAAAGAGAATCAATACAAATCAGCACATATTTACAGCATTTCAAATCAGTGTACAAGAATGCAATGGTTTCATCCATTTTACACTTTAGCAAGCAAAATACATGTCTATTCTGATTTTGCCTAAATTCTACTGGAATTTGCACTGGAAACAAAATTCTAGAACCAAAGATAAGCCACAGAGAATACAAATAAAGTGCATTTATAAAGAGCTATATATCACTTTGGTGGATGAAGCTTCAAACTTTATATTAAGGCACCAGGAATTCTCCCCCCACCCACTACTCTTTTTCAAACACCAAAAAAAATGCTTTTCACAAAATTTATAGATATATGGATGGATTTCTGTTTACCAAATACAATTTTAGCCCATTTAGGTAAAATGTAAACTCAATTTTCAAAAGTTGACATTGTTTGAAAACATTTTCTACAGACTAATTTCTGTAGATTCGTACACAAAGATCAGTTTCTAGTTTTTGTGAGACTTAATCATGATCATTTTTACAGAGTGTGATAATTCACATATTTGGCTTTGGAGAATTCTACAAGTTTGATAAATTGTCCCATGGCATTTTTGTAAGAAACTATTTTGCCTGTAATCATGTATTAAATTGGTGTCACTAGTAATGCCTATCAATCCAGTCCTGTCTATAGTCTCGTATAAACGATGCTCAAGATCTCACACAAAACACATTTAGCTTAATTTTAAAAACAAGAAATAGTTAAAATGAATATTCAGCTTTAATCTTGTTCTAACAACTCAATGTAGCTTAAATAGACATGTCATGAGGTTTTAGCCTAAATTTGTATTAAAATTTCAGATCAATATACACACCTGGAGAAAAACCTTGACACATACATAGCCCAAGCTAACATAGTATTTTAATTAAGATAGTATCATAAAATAACATGATTACAGCTATTCCACATTTTAAAAGCAGCATGTTTTTATAAGAAATTTGTTACAAATGAACAATATGACTACTTGAAGACAGTTGTTAATGTTTAAAAATGTTCTATAACTATTGAGAAGAAACTCACCTATGAAAACCATTAAGAGTGTGAGTTTGTGGAAAAACAGTTAATAGGTTAAATATTTTAAGCCATTTAATTATAGCATAGTATTAGTCATCTCAGCACTTTCAGTATCATTCTTATTTTATTAAATTTATTCAGTCCACTGATAGTAAACTAGGCCCTCATTGGCAGTTATGTTACGACTAAATGTTCAAGTTTTCTATTGACACAGATTTACGATTTAACTTCTTGAACAGCAGACTCTTGATCAGTAGTTTCATCTTCTTCAAAGGTTGGGTTATCAACATGAGGAACAACATCCACGGTCACAGAATTTGCTTCATGGTTTACCAGCTGCAGATTTTCATCTTTAAAAAGAAATATCAACTTTAGAATCATTTCACCCCTCTCTTCTTTAAGAAAAATTTCAACATGCACATTCAAGAAACTTTTGTCACATTCCATCATACTGTGGTTATTACATGCATTTCCTATTCCTTTAGTAATTACATAATTTTTACTATGTCTTACATTAAGTCTGGCATATCGAATACTCTCGGTAGCTTGCCGGGCTCGTAACAACAAAGTCTCCAATGGAGACGTTACTGGGCCCGCTCGAGCAAATCGATGATCAACGGGAGAGCCTTTACCTTTTACCTTACATTAAGTACATAGAGAAGTATTATATTGATTCAAAGTTACTTTTAAAAATGACTCCTTCTGCGTCTTTACTCCAATTATAATAGTTCTTAAATCTGGCTTTACATTTCAGTTACCCGGGGCACTTAAAAATTAATTACACTTTTTTATATGAAGAGAGATAATGATGATGATGATGATGATGATGACGACGACGACAATGACAGATGGATAAACCACTATAACTAACCAGGAAATTTGGGGAGTTCCTAAGATGAGAGATGAACAATGATAAATATAATTGGGGTTGGAGGGCAACAGGGGACACTGATGCACAGGGGAAAGGGTGGGTGTTGACACATTATATGACTAAAATCCAGTTATGAACAACCTTGTAACTGTTTATCTTACAATGATATAATTAAAAAGTAATATAATTATATTGAAGATGAAATATATAACAATTCTGAAGAAAAAGAGACAGAAAATAAGTAACTGTGGAAAAAACAGTTTTCCCATATCCCATAGACCAAAAGCAAAAGTTCCATGCAATAGTTAGTGAAAATATTTTTTTACAAGGATGTGAGCTTGAGGAACAGAAACTATTTTATGTTCATTCTAAGACTGAATAAATAAGTAAACGTTGTGAATTATGGTAGTAGAATTTCTCATTGTCAAAGTAAAGAGTTACAAATAAGGAAAGGGGTAAAAGAATAAATCCCATGGTGTTGGGAATCAGTATGAGCTTGCTGAAGCATTTTTAAAAGTGTTGTGAAGAGATAGTACAGAGGTTAAGGTACTTGTCCAGTACCAGCTGATTCAGTATGTTTCTGGTACAGCATACTCTCCAACACTGCAAGGAGTAACCCCTGATCACAGAAACAGGAGGAAAATGTGGCCCCCAAACAAAACAAAAAATGTTTTAATATGTCTGTGTATATATATATATATATATATATATATATATGAGTATATTCACTATTTCTTAATTTTCTTCATTGGAAGAGCTAAAAGCAATCAATAGTAGTTCAATACCAATGAGTATATCTTGTGTCTAGATCTTGTTCTGCAAAATTCAGTTACCATAAAGCCCCAGGTTGGTCACTATGGGGAAAGCTCAACTATAAAACTACCTCTGGAAAGGCATGCAGGGTACATTTTCTCTGTCTGAGAGATTTACTTGCCTCTCATCCTAAGATGAATGGATCGGATCTCTGTTTCTGTCTCTCTCCCCTCTATCTCTCTCCTTCTTCTCTTTTTCCCTCTTTTCTATTTCAGTAAATAAACTATTTTAATATGTCGCCTAATTTAAAAAAAGAATTACCAATAAAAGGCCTTCTGAAAAAATGGCTGATTTTTTTCAAGCTAGGGCGATGACAAGGTTAACCTAGATTTTTGCCTGCAAAGCACAGTCTGTAAGCCAAATACAAAGCTAAAAATGGTTTGCACATATGTTTAAAAGGTAATGTAAACCTAAAAAGAATTCAGAAGCTTTATGACTTCAGAGTCAAAACTTCTTACTATCTGTCCCTTCAAGAAAAATATTTGGGACCAGAAGGATAGTACAGTGGTAGGGTGCTTGCCTTGTTCACATCTAACCCAGGTTTGATCATATGGTCCTCCAAGTACTGTCAGGAGTGGTCCCTGAACAGAAAGGCAAGAGTAATCTCTGAGCACCCCAGTTGTGGACCAACACAATAAAAACAAACAAACAAAAAAAATTTGGCAATCTCTATCCTAGAATATCTTGTAGTGCCAGAAAGTAAGGAAGTGCTCAAAACAAAGATGAGCTGTTGAAAGAAAACAGAAACCAATTTGAGGAAGTTCCTAATGACCAAATCTAAAATAATCTAAGCAATGAAAATGAGATTAACATATAGGACACAAAAAATATCTATGAACCCATACAATTATAAATAAGTGCAAGGATAAATGGAGAAAGAAATAGCTCCACTTTAAAATAGAAACTTAATTAATGTAGATAGATGGAAATAAAAATCATCATTTGGCACACACTTCAGTAATAAGTATGCAAGCTAAGAAGCATCAATGACTGCTAAAATTAGTGATGAAAGTATGATGAGAAACAAGAATATTTATATAGTCTCCAAGTGTGTCTCTATAATAATTACAAAGAGAAAACGGTAACTTTAAGGAGAATCTTAGCTGACACACCTTAATGAAGTGAGCATAGTTAAAATAATCAGTCTTAGTAAGACATGGACAGCCTGTGCTTCTCTATATGGTATGAAGCAGACAAGGGCACAGCATCACTTCTGTTAACTATTACAAGAATTAGAAAATAGACAATGCACATAATTACTGGAAAAGAGCAGACAAGATAAACTTGAGACCATAAAATAAATAACCTGTATTCTTCGATAGTGTTAAGATCAGAAAAGGCAAAGACTAAGGAACTATCACAGGTTGGAGTCATGAAATGACATTATGAAGAACAATCTATGCAAATGCAATCTATGCATTCAGCTAGACACTGAAATATTTCCCTCTTAATTTAGGAAGCACAGCGGTAGGGCGTTTGCCTTGCACGCAGCCAACATGGCCGACCCAAGTTCAACTCCTCTGCCCCTCTCGGAGAGCCCGGCAAGCTACCAAGAGTATCTCGCCCACACGGCAGAGCCTGGCAAGCCGCCGTGATGTATTCGATATGCCAAACACAGTAACAACAAAATCTCTAATGGAGACGTAACTGGGCCCGCTCGAACAAATCGATAATCAACGGAAGGGCCTTTACTTTACTTTACTTTTAATTTAGGAAGAACACACTGTCACCATTCCCAATTAACATGGTATTGGAAGTTATAGCCTGAGAAATCAGGTAAGAAAAAAGAAGTAAAAAACATCCAAACAATAAAGGAAGAAGTAAATCTTTGTTTTCATATGACATGATATAAACACTCCACACAAAAACTGAATTCGGTGGTTACAGGATACTAAATCAACATACAAATATCAGCCACATTTACATACACTTAATTTGTAATACTATTAAGGAGGTAAGATGCATATGCTAAAAACTGTGAGATACTGGTGAAAAATCTGGGGATAGAAACAAAAATATTTTTAAAATGTCTATATTATAAAGCCTTTTTGATTCATGTAAACTCATCAAAATAATAAAGGTATTTTCACAGGAATATCAAATCAATTCTAAAATTTATATGGACCATAAAGGACTCCAGGTAGGCAAAACAATTTTAAGAAAGAAAAAGATGAAGAAACCACATTCCTGGATTCAAACTATAATACAATGCTATAGAAATAAAACTTTAAAAAATGTAATACTGACAAATAGATCATAATCATAACCCTATGAATAAACCCATGTATTAAAAAACTGAAGAATTAGCAAAGAATACTCAGTGCATGAAATAAATGGAACTTGAAAAATTAAATATCAACATGCAATAGAATAAAATTGGACCCCTACCATACATCACTCAAAAATTGAACTCGAGGGGCTGGAGTGATAGATAGCACAGTGGTTAGGGCGTTTGCCTTGCACGCGGCCGACCCAGGTTCAATTCCCAGCATCCCATATGGTCCCCCAAGCATGGCCAGGAGTAATTCCTGAGTGCATGAACCAGGAGTAACCCCTGTGCATCGCTGGGTGTGACCCCCCCAAAAAAAATTGAACTCAAAATAGTTAAAGACTTAATTGTAAAACATGAAACCACAAAAATACTAGAAGAAAACATAGGGTAAATGTTCCTTTACATTAGTCTTGGCGATGTTATTATGGGTAGGGACCCAAAAAGCATAAAAAAATTAAAAATATACACAGGGGGTACATCAAACTGTCAAAAAAAAAACCACTGTCCTCCCATTGTTCATTGATTTGCTGGAGCAGGCCCAGTAACATCTCTACTTTGAAACTTGTTGTTACTGTGTTTGGCTTATTGAATACATCACAGGTAGCTTGCCAGCCTTTGCCGTGCGGGCGAGATACTCTTGATAGCTTGCCGGGATCTCCAAGAGGGATAGAAGAATCGAACCCGGCTCGGCTGGGCTGGCTGCACGCAAGGCAAATGCCCTACCGCTGTGCTATCGCTCCAGCCCACAAACTAAAAAATATTATGTACAGCAAAAGAAGTTATCAATGGAATGAAGACGCAACCTACTGATGCGAGAAATTATTTGTAGATCTTAGATAGGGGTTAATATCTAAAATATAAAAGAACTCATAAAACTTGATAACAAGTAAGCAAATTATACCATTAACAGTGAGTATAAACGGGACTGTAGCAATAGTGCAGCAGGTAAAGTACTTGCCTTGAATGTGGCTGACACAGGTTCGATCATGGTCACCACATATGATGCCCACCCACCAAGCTCACCAGGAGTGATCCTGAGTGCAGAGTCAGGAGTAACCCCTGAGAACTAATGGGTGTGACCACATAAAATAAAAATTAAGTGTAGTAAATGAATATTTTCCAAATAATATATGTAAATGACTAACAGGTACTTTATTTATTTATTTATTATTTATTTTGCTTTTTGGGTCACACCTGGCACTGCACAGGGGTTACTCCTGGCTCATGCACTCAGGAATCACTCCTGTGGTGCTCAGGGGACTGTATGGGATGCTGGGAATCGAACCCGGGTCAGCTGCATGCAAGGCAAATGCCCTACCTGCTGTGCTATTGCTCCAGCCCCCTAACAAGTATTTTATTTTATTTTATTTTTATATTTTTATTAGTGAGACATT